GGGTGGCAGGAGAGGTCTGTCGCACCATGTGGGACCTTTGCCGGAGGCCGGGGATCGAACCAGCGCTGCAGAGGTCGCAGCCCAGCGCTCAACCGCTGCGCCACTGGGGAGGCCCATTTCTCCTATTTTTCTCTATTCTCAGCAACCATTTCCACTACGCTATAGCCAGGAGTCAAATGACTCTCCAATATGCTCTCTCCACAGCTGGGTCAAGATTCTGTGGGCTTTTGTCACCATGGATTTTAAGGAATAAAGATAAGTGGACTTCTTGTGTAATTTTTTTGATTTTCTTCCTTCTGGAGTTTCCTGTTTCTTTCTCTACCTACCAGTTTTCCAGGATAATTAAACTTAGCTGGTCATCTGTATTTTCACTGGCTGTAGATATTTTTGTTACATTTCTTAGTCAGAAAGATCTTCTGTAAGGCAGTTTTAATTTTCCATCTTAACATATGAACCACATGGATGTGTATTCTTAAGCTCCCTAGCTAATTCACATCCTCACAAAGTTCCAGATCAATGATCTGTGTGTTCTTATGGCCAGCAGTACTCACATTCACCATCCTCGGATATTTTTAACCTCTCTGAGACTCGTGTGTCTATTTAAAAAGAAGAATAAAAATCTACCCAGCTTGCGTGAGGTAATGAGACAAATGAGTTTTTATGTAGTGCTATATTTCAGAAAATGTTCTCACAGCTGAGAAATAATTACAAGAGTGAGTTGGGGGCAATAAAGCCTGTCACCTAAGAGTGAGGTTCTTGACTACAGTATGGGAAGAATTGGTGCAGGAGTCAGAGTAGGCGACTTAATAGTGAAGCTTGCATTATAAGCAATAGGACACAAGCAAGAGAATACAGGCAGATGAGAATCACACCTTAGGTCTTGAGGCTGCTGATGTATGTATGTTTAATTTGAGAGGGCTTACAGATGGGGTTCTGAACTGGTTGTAACCTGTTTTTTTATTTAGCAAGACTGTTGACCCATAAACTGTCCCCAGAGGGTAACTAAGATAGACAGGTTTTAAACAAGTAGAGTTTAGGTCATCTTGCCCCAGAATTTTGCACAGATGTTTTGTCAGGCACAGGCTGGATGAGGGGGGAGAATTGAAATTTACCACACTCCCCCCCTCAGAGATTTTGACTCCTTCAATACATATTTAACAACTTATTTATCAGCCCAATGAGATCACCAAATTATGTCCTTGAGTCTTGTTTGGGAGGGGCTCGCCCCTTGTTGGTTGCTAATTTTGGATAACTATGCAGAATTTGAAAGGGACTGGAGATTCTACAATGGGCTCAATCTCCATATCTTTACCTTTGGATGAGCCCTGGATACCTACTTGGATGTTATGCTTTGTAACCTAGGTGTCCCCACCTAAGGATACTAGTCTGAGCCTAAGAATACTAGTTTCCACAACTGTGTTGTCGGCCTGTAAGGATCTTAGTTTGCATAACTGTGTCAATGGCTATGCTAATCTCTTCTACCCCCATCTCCTTTTGTGAGCCAGGTTTCTGGTCTTGTGGCCCACCTCCTTTTCAGTTTTTGTTTTTCTATTCTTGTCCTCCATCATTACTCTCCCAGAGAAAGTTTTCATCCTCTTTATTTTAAAAGGGGTAAAGGGACAGAGCCTCATCTTCATGGTTACTTCCTGGTGAACAGGGATGTAGCCACTACCTACAGGTGAGAGCAATGAAATTGTCTTAGCCTGAGAGACAGAGACAAGAGTCATCATTTTTACATGCAGTGGTTGAATGTTTGACACAAAGAGTTTGGACAAACAAGACTCCGCCTTAGATGGATAAGGGTAACTATTAGGCCCCTATGAGTTAGGAGAAACAAGATCATCTTTTTGTAAACCAGTACATGGACTTAACATCCCTTGAATTCTACAACCTTTTGGAGATAAAGGGGACTAATTAGGCAACTTGAAGAACAAGGGCCGGGCCTCTCCTGGTGGCTGCAGGTGGTTGAGCTCAATGCTGTAAAGCTGTCCACAGCCTCTGCAGCATGGGTTTGATACTGGCTGGCCAGCGAGATACCCACATGGTGCAGCAGACCTCTCCTGTCTCGCCCGCTGCTCCCCTCAGAAGTGCATTTCAGTCGATCCGCCTGTTCTGTCCCCTGCTCTGTCTCTGGTGAATCCTCTCATCCCCTGCACCTCCGGCTGGTACCCAGGTTCTTGTGTGCATAAATAAATCAATCTTTAAAAAAAAAAAAGCAAGGGCCAAGATCAAAAGAGGTAAACATATTCCATTAATCTAGCTGAACCAATTGGAAATGGCTTTGCTATAATAGGAGTCCAGGGCCAGGATGCAGTTTTATTCAGGGCACCCACCTCTCTGCTTCTTTCTCTGTTTTCCTTTTCAGCTGGCCTTAGAGCTCAGCCTGAGAGTGTTGCTATTACTGATCTGAAAATACAAGCCTCTTAGATTCCCCCCTCCTTTTGTGTCCTACCTATAAGGTCTGAGCGCAATTTAACTACTTATCCTCCATTACTACATTCCAATTTTTTCATGAACCAAAGAATGGTCTCAAGTATTCAGTCTTTACTGCTGTTGGAATAGGATAGTTGCTAAACTAGTTACCAGATGTTTCAGATATTCCATTTTCTGTCATATTTAGTAGAATAGCAGTTATGGAAGATAAATTTAAAATTTCCACTTTTTGTATGTTTTTTTCTATAGACTTTAAAATCTTGAATATAGCTTATCACTCACTCCTGGGTGGCATAAATGATTATTTTTTAATGGCTTCATTTATTTATAATCTGAGACCCTGCCATAAAGGAAGTTTAAGGAGTTTAAAAAGAGGAAAAAGAGGGCCTCCCTGGTGGCACAAGGGGTTAAGCACAGCACTGTGAAGCTATCAGCAGCCTTTGCAGCCCCTGCAGCCTGCACACCAGGGAGCTACCCACATGACACAGCAGACCTCTCCTCTCTCGCCCTCTGCTTCCCTCAGCAGTGTATTTCAGTAGATCCACTTGTTCTCCTCCCCACTCTGTCACTGGTGAATCTTCTCATCCCCCACCTCTGGCCTACACCCCAGTTCTTATATGCATAAATAAATAAATCTTAAAAAAATAAAATGAGTCAAATAATAGGGCATAGAAAACTTCACTTAAAATGATAATGTATTTCAAAGCTGGATATTTTATTTATAAATAACATTTAGATACAGTGGTTAAACAGATGCTCCCAAAGATCCTCAAAGTATTAGCACAGACACTACAGAGAGGCAATATAGCATGTATGTATGTTTCTGCCATTTGACAGCAAGATTCAAGACTGGTTGTATCCAAACATTTGAGACTCAGTGCCAGATCATTTGCCATACAAGCATTGGATTCATCTTATTTATCGATACTCAGTATAATTTCCCTTAATCCCATCATTCCCATCATCTATGTTATGCAATTATATCACATGAATTTTATAACTTCAGGCTAACTTAAACTCATTCTTCACTGTTATGAGTTCTGCTAAAAAGAATTTATGAAATAAGCCTTATTTAAATTCTAGCCCTCTCTGCTCCCTCCTGCAGTCATTCTCCCTGTGAATTTATTCCATGTGTTTATCATGTGAAATAATCTAACACAGCTGATAAGACATTGTTTTCATTCATTCACTTCATTCATTTTATTAATGTTATCAATAATATTCATTCTGGAAAGTGTAACATATTGGAATTTTAGAAGTACATTTTAATATGTCACACTGGATCTGCTGATACTTTGTTTTTTTAAAAGTTATCAAATACAGACATTGATATTCTGAAGCTAAAAGTTGTTAACAAAGGTCAAATTCTTCCTGTCCTAAATAGCACTAACTCAATGCCTGTTGTGAAGCCCAAGAAATGAGATTCTTAAGAACTCCAGAAAGACATTAATTATCCAGGTAAAAGTGGAGCAGAAGTGATACTGCCCCAATAAAGATGGTTTACACACACACACACACACACACACACACACACACACACACCCTCTGCGACTGAGCTCGCAACACTCATTTCATTGTTTCCACTGTATTTTCATGCATTAGTGTTCCCATTTTATGTGCTAGTATTCCTGATATGGATGATTTTATCATAAAAGCAATTACAATTTGTGAATTCTAATTTGTGTATAGAAAAGTTTCTATTAGTAATATAGTAGTGCAGATGCATAGTCTGATGGCAGTGCAGTATTTGCCTAAGAGCTAGAGCTCCTTCCAAGGATGCTGCACCCCCTAATCAGACCCTACTCTATGCAGGACAGGATCTATAATCCTAGTTGCTCTTCATGGGACTGCTGAAGAACTGAGTCATTGGCAACTCTTAGATATAGATGGACTTGTCCTATTTTAGTCTTGAGATGGGAAAAGAAATCCATAAAATCTCCAAAGAATTTCTGCACATGGAGTAAATACCAAATATCAAACAATTCAGAGACTTGAGATGAAAAGACTGAGTTCTTGAAAAACTAAATTCCTCCTTTAAAAAGTTATATAAATCTAAGCCACAGTAAGATCCCGAGGGACTTGGTTTTAGAATTTGCCTTTGCTTAATTTGATTTTTTCACCTGAACCCACTTTACAAAAGCCTTCAATTCCATATTTGAAGGTGACTGAAACTCCACTCTTTCACCATGCCTTTCAAAAATATTATAAAGACTGTAATAGTGCACTCAGTAGTTCAGCAAAAAATGACTGCTGGTTATATCCACAAAAAGAATGCATAAAAGGCAAAAGTAAATAAACAAGACAGAACCTTCAAAAAAAAACTTTAAAAATAAACTGTGCTACAAAACTACAGTTGCAGTGACAGTGTCTTATTTGGCCCCGCCAGGTTTCAGAGGCACTGCATTAATACAAACAGAATCATCTAATGCACTTTTTCAAAATAGTGCTTCTCAGCCAAGGGTTAGTGCAAATTCATTCTACTGCTAGGTGCCAATGACACTTTGGTTTTCTTTATTGGCAACGCATCCTATACTAAGAGGAAGGCTGGAAACCAAGCAAAGGACAAGAGCCAAATCCACTGTGTTACTTCTTTTCATGCTTCTTGGTTAACTCCCCCACTCCCAACTGGAAGCTGCCCCTGTGGTCTCCTGTTCTGTCTTTCCTCTGTCGACTCTCCTGGGAGACTTGCTGCACGGCTTGCAGGATGGCATTTTGCACAATCTGCTTACTGGCGTTCTGCAGCTTCACCTCTTCAGGCTCATTCTTAGGCTGCTCACCTAGACAAAGGGAGGTGAAATGAACAAAATTAATTTCAGTAACCAGGATAGAAGAGAAAGGCAGGAAAGGGGCGGGGGGGGGGGGGGGAGGTAAGACTATCAGATGCCCTAGAACAGCCAGTGTAGAGCCCTCTATTGCACTGACAACTATTGTCTCATACTTTATCAACAGACTCTCTTGTTTATTTGCCCTAAATTATATTATATTCTAAATTATATTCTCATCATCTCACAATCCTCTCCTGCAATTTCCATTTAAAGAATTGCCACAGAAACTGCAAGCCTCACTGTATTTGCATTCTAATGGAGTAAACTGAGTCACATGGCCACACACAGCCTCAGGGGGTTGGTTAACATAGTAGCAAGCTGGGCACCCATATGTACTACCAAAACTCAGGGAGATTCAAATGCTAATAAAAGAAGTAATTAAGGATATTTAAATTTTGTTCCACACAATTGAAAGTAGGCAGTATTTACTTTCATTAGGTCAAATCTGATGTTCAGGGAGCTCTGTGTCTACCATCATACCGTGTAAGAGTGTGGACAAATAAAAAAATGCTCAAAAGTTCCATGCTTGCTCCTGGAAAGAGCCAAACTGGGTGTGTTAACTCTGAAATGCCCCTGTAAATGCAGCTACTTTTCTGTCTTTGGATGGGAAAAGGAAGAATCTAGAAAATTAATTCTAAGGAGTTAAGCACTAACTCCTCAACAATACAAAGAAAAAAGAAAATCTATTTTAAATTTAGCATGGCCTGACATCTGAGCTAAACTATCATGCCCTCAGCCATCCTTTACAAAGATAAATTGATCACAAATTCAAATAGTATGTGCAAGGCAGTATCTGGGGGAGTCTTTGGTGACTGGAAAGGGTAGTTTAACCCTCACCGTCATTACCACTTTATTCTGGTTCATAAATATGTGCTGTGGAGGCCATGGGGCAGAAACAGTGGTGACTGGCCAGAAGAGAGAAAGAGGAATAGAGTGGGGAAAGCTACCTGGACCATTTCACAGACAATAGAAGCAAAACAAATTTATGCAAACCACAGGTACACACTTGTGTGTTGGGTTCTTTGGCAATCAAAGAAAGAGACTCTCTTCCCTTTAACTTACATGGAGAAGGAAGCAGTTACTATGGGAATACGTGTGTCATAGACAGACATCATGGAAATATTCAGTTGAGCCTCACATTGCAATTCATAAAGTGGAAGGATTCAATATAGTTCCTGAAACTGGATTATCCAGAATATGCTCTGCCATTGGAGAGACTCAACACTCCATCTGCTGCTACCAACTAACAACCCTCCCTTTCTTCCAGAAAGGCACACACTTACTCTTATTTCTGTTTATTTATGACTTAAAATGTTTCGTGATGATTGAACACATTCTCTCCTCTCTGAAAGCATTTCAGCTAAGGTTCTGCTTGCCTGACTCTTGGCATATCATCATTCAAAATTCTTGAGAGGAAACATGAAAGATTTAGCATACACTTGGAAAAAAGAAAGCACTTTCTTGCCAGGCCACCTCTTAGGCCAGTCATTGAGTATTCCTGGCTCATTCTGGACCAAACAACTGTGACCAGAGAAATTGGGTAAAGAGCTGAGAATTCAGGCCTCCCTGGTGGCCTAGGGGTTAAGTCTCAGTGCTATCACCCCTTCCGCCTGAGTTCGGGAACTAGCCCACATAGGGGCAGAAGACCTCTCCTGTCTCCTCCACTGCTCCCCTCAGCAATGTATTTCAGAAATTCTGCCTGTTCTGCTCCCCACTCTGCCTCTGGTGAATCATCTCACGCTCCCCCAATCTCTGGCCTACACCCCAGTTCTTCTATGCAAAAATACATAAATAAAGAGCTGAGAATTCATCTTGTTTGGAGGAAGGAACCACCAGGGCCCCTTGCATTGGTAAGCATGTGGGCAGAGCAGGCATTCACAAGATTAGCTTCATCCAGTTTCATAACCTACTGATGCCCCGACAGCATTCACTTGAAAGGGTATTTGAGAACAACTTAGTGGAGACTCTTAATATAAGCACAGTGTTTACAGTGCATTACAACCCAACAGAAGAAAGAGTCAGTCACAGAAATCCTCAGTGTCACCACTTACTTGTGTATTTTAACTTTATTTGAAATTATGAATCACCTGCGTGTTGTAGGTGGCCAATTGCCTAGTTTTAAATGATGCAAATGTCTCTAGTCTATTTAGCATTTACAAAATCATTCCGGTATTTCACAAATGATGATGAACTGATTTAATTAACTTTAAACTTTAAACTCTAAATGCCCAACATAAATATATTGACATCTAATGTATTTGTCCTCAGTGTCTTTCCTCCTAAAATCATTACCTGCTTTGAAAACACACACACACACACACACACACACACATACACACACTCAGACATCCCCATGCTCATGCTTCCCTGTGGCACACAGTCCATGGCTAGGGTCAGCCCTCCATAGACCACTCTCTGCTCTGCACCCCCTGCCCCATGCCACCTTTACCTGCCCCAGTGGGCTGTGTCTGAGGAACTCAACTGCAATATGGTTATCAATCTTAATTTCTTATTAATAGTCATTAAAAGCATGTTTCTAGTGACCATAGGAACATCCCCCAATAAGCTAAATGTCATTTAGCTCTACTATGTTCCAGAGAGATGGATTTTAGGAAAAATTCCCATTTTGAGGCAGAATCCGATTATTTATTTCCCCTTGATCCAGAGAGGGTGGAAGAGGTTGTATTATAAACTGTGTCTCTCTCTCCCCAGTGGGTCACTATGAATACACACATTATAGAAATCCTGATCAGGACAGGATAGGGCTCCGCCACCACTATCAGCACACACTCTCCAGTGTACAGAGCTGCAGATGGAAACCACAGCATATTTTTTTCTCTTCCTCTCTGAGTACTTGAGACTATAAAGTCTGTTATCATTAATCAATGACTAGCATATGAAACACAGAGAACAAGAACTAATTCTGGGCCCTTTATTAATGGAATGATATACTATTTCATAACTCTGTAACTACAGAAATTTTCCATGAAGGACCAGCTATTAGACTTTGCTCCTTTCTACAACAACTGAAGCTATCCTGACTCCCTTACTTTTCTCTCAAGCAAGTTAAAACTATGTGACTTCCTAGGGATGGAAATGCACAGCTTCTGATTGTCCAGCTCGCTGCTAACCCCACCAAGCTATGGGGTTTCCTGGTACATTACCAAATCAGAAGCAGCATTTTAGGGTTTTCAAACGCAGAAGGCAAGACAGGTATTAGCAGGTGTACGACACTTGTCAGTCATATTTGAGAGATGCCCTTATATTACCACCACCACCACTATAAGATAAAGCACAGGGCATGAAGAATCACCCTTGACTCTTTCTGCAATTGCAATGACTAGGCATGTCAATTTATAATGTGGCAAGTTACTCTCATAAGCTATGTAGAGTTCTTTATCAAAATTCCCAATACAACAAGGTAAGACATATCAGATAGCTACTGAGCACCTATATGAATGGTACCATGGAGAGTACCACAGGCCACTATACCAAAATGTTTCATTCATGTACACATTCCTTCACAAAAGAATTATGGAAACGGGAGCATCTCTGGTGGCACAAGGGGTTAAGACGCAACCTATGAAGCAGTACACAGCCTCTGCAACACGAGTTCGATCCCCAGCCTTGCCAGGGAGCTACCCACATGGTGCAGTACACCTCTCCTGACTAGCCCACTGCTCCCCTCAGCAGTGTATTTCGGTCAATCTGCCTGCTCTGTTCCCCACTCTGTCTCTGGGAAATCCTCTCACCACCCCCACCCAAGCTCTTGTATGCATAAATAAATAAATCTTTTAAAAAAAAAACTACGGAAACTATCTAAATGCTAGGGTAGGTATTAGAATTAAAATGTTGAACAAAACACACGTGGGTGCTGCCTTATTGGAATTTAGAATCTAATGGAAGAGTTAGGTGCTGCTCTAGTAATCAAACAAGTTTATAATTTTGAGCTGTGACATATGCCACTGAAGAGGCCAGGCAGCATATAATAAGGGGAGCTGATCTAGTCTGGGGGTTAGGGAAGGAGGCCTGCACTGGGGACTTACAGGTTAACAAGGCATTTACCAATCATGGGAAGATGAAGAAGCAGGAGGTCAAACTTAGTGGAAGTCCCCGTGTAGGATCAGGGCCCTGCTGGGATCTGAAGGCAGCCGAAGTGGCTGGGTGCCCAAAGTGGGAGGGGCAACCTGGAGATGATGTGCAGAAAGTAGGCCACCCAGATGGTGCAGGTCCTGGGAGGTTGGGAGGCACTTGGGTCTTTTTCTGAGAGTAAAGCTACAGTGTGTCTTCAAATCTGTGCTGCACATGGCAGCTGGAGGTGACTGACAAGAGTTAGTCATTGAGGTGGGAATATGCAGGACTTGGAGCAGACCTTGAAATTTGGAAAGGCCAATGAGAAAAGACAGAATTCTTTCTCTGGCTTCAGAAGGCAGGAGAGACATGTAACTTACTGACTCACAGTGTCAAAACTAGCTTTTACCTTGAAGAACTATTCCATTACTTTAGAAGATATTGATAATTTAACTTACACCATATCCCTAGGTTGCAGTGTGTGTGTGTGTGTGTGTGTGTGTGTGTGTATGTGTGTGTTTTAGGAAAGCCATGGGAAGTATGCCAGTAAAACTTGAAAAGGAAAAGACAATTTTAATCTAAAAATCAAATTTGAGAATTTTGGTCAAGAAAAGCAAAGACAATTTTGGAAAACAAGAACAAAAGGGAGGCCCTAATTTACCAGCTATCACTGCCAGTTATAAATTGCAGTGATTAAGAAAGAATAAGATTGATACAGAGATGGAAAACAATGAACAACAAAATAGAATAGTCCAAAAAGAAAAAATAGAATGAGTGCAGAACAGGCTCTCTACTTATGAGGTCACTTAATTTATGAAAACATGACACTGCAGAGTGGTGGGGGAAAGATTATTTTCAAGCAACTGGGCTGGGCCAACAAG